GCCATTGTTCATTATTTTTGAAAAACTAAGGTTTTAAACTTGAAAAACTTTGCGAGTTTTTGGCCGATTTTCTTGCATGATACACCGTTGAAAAGCTCGAATTTCACATTCTATTTTCGTATCCGTTGCTAGGCAACCCAATAAACACATGCTCAAATATCATGCCCACAAGTTAAGGAGTCATGTTAGGGCGCATTGCCGCTTACCCCCTTGCCAATCTCAGGGCGCATTCGGGCGCATTGCCGCTTAATGAGTTAACTGCAATTAATAAGCTAACAGTCGTCGTCTTAACTGCAGTACAGCTAAATATGGAATCTTTCTGCTATGAACCAAGGCTCAGATAATGCCGTGCTGTGACGCCAGCAAGAAGATTCGGCTGAAAATCAAATTGTTCGCTAAAATTGAGAAACACAAGTTAAATATTCACCATTAATTAACTCATTTTCAAAGTATTGTGCTTCCTCAGCTTGCCACAACCAAACAGACTCCATATCAACAGGTTGAGCTAGAAAAATTTAAAATCAACGAAATGTAAACGTCAGTTAAATTGTAATTTTTCATGCTACTCTGAGTGCAGTCCACACCGGGCAAGCTGAAAAATCAGCTTGACCGTGGTGAGATTCGAACCCGCGACCATTGGTATGTTAGTTCAACCAGAGTCAGTATAATTTTCAGTTGGGTATTATATTACTGGATAAATTAATCCAAATACACGTAGTTAATTAAGTTATCTTACAACTAATGCATTCACATAAATTCCTCAAGTCTCTTTCAGCGTCTTTCTCTGTTTGCTGTGCCTTTTGGAGTCTTTCTACGATCAAGACCTCTAAATATAAAAATACGGAATACTACATTTTTATGTGTTGCCTACCACAGATTCGCTAAAAACAGAAATATTTAAACAATGTGCACCATTCTGATCATGAGAATAAATAACTTAGAGTTCAAACGACATGACGACTTAATCTTTGTCTTGGAGAACGAGAATTGTTTCAATGAAAAACTAATTTTAAAACTAATTCTCGCTCGGGACAACGAATTTTTTGTTGTACTTTGCAGTGTCAGATAAATTTGAAATTACTTTTTGTATCTGCGAGCAGCGCTAGATACATTGCTATCGAGCCTTTGTGTTTGTTTGTTTGTTAGGTACAGGCAATAACATGGCGGGCGAAGGAGGGTTGGCAATATTTAGCCGAAGTGATAGCGAAAATTTGACAACTATTATGCAATTTTTGTTCTTCAAAAGCGGTATTTTTGCTACAGAATCAAGGTAGGAATCTCAAGTAAATACTAACGATAAAAATTCTGTATAATTTATAGGCCATGAGTCATTGAGAGTATATGTTCGTGACAATCACACTCACAGTGTCACTGACTCACTGTGTGTTTTCCTAATTTCTACAGTACTGTACAATAGATTGAGAAACACAAAAGTTCATGTTATTGATGTGCATCTTGTCTGAATTACTAAATAATAGTCTATTTCATAAAAGTACTCTATAAATAATTCAAACAATATAATTTTGCAAAAAGCACAATCAACAAGAAGTAAGCAACTAGCTTTTTGTGCACTGTATTGCCTGAGTTAGTGAGTATTGCTCCTTTATAAAGGTTATTTAAACTATTTTTGTATCAATCAATGAATTAGTTGAATTATTTTCTAATTAGTGAGCATGGGGAATACAAATTGGATTTTTAGGGTGATAAAGAGCCCCCCCACCCCAAGGGAATCCCCCATGCCTGTAGAAAAACCAAAAAGCTATTCTAATTCTTGGCGAATATAAATTTCCGTTTGGAAATTTAATTCAATTTTTACTCAAATTATCACCTAGCTAAATTTTTCAGTTTGGTCAAGAAAAATTTTGTCTTGGCCCGGCACACCTAGGATTTTCTACAGGCATGTTTCCTCCCATACCAAAAGAGTATTGTGCGACTCATCCTTGTTCACAGAACTTCTTGACTGCCTGCTTTGCCATACACCCTGGGAATCAAATAACGTTTCTGGCGTACCACTCACATACCATTGGCTATTGCATTCCAGTGCAAGCCCAAGAGATCAACTCTGCTCTGGAATGAGGATTGGAAATGGCATATGCATGAGAAAGCTCATTACATAGATGCAAATATGAGCTAAACCAACTAATGCATGACAGTGCAGCATAGAGAACAGTGCAGGACGATAAAGTCAATTTACTGTAGTGCAATGATTATAAACGTACCTATTTTATCACTTGTTTTTTTCCCGTAATGCAACAAAGCATCGGTTAAGACATCAATTCTATGGCTTGGTCTCATCTCCTTTGTCATCTTCCCAAATCCTCTAATATATGACCAGAGCCGCTCTAACATCTCGCCGTCAGTGAGTCCAAATTCTTGTTTTCGTCGAGGACTGAACAAGATCTATTTAGAATTAATTTTAATTTTAGGTGATATTTCATTTCAATTCAAACCGTATCAATTTGGAAAGCGAGACATTGAAAACATAATCATGAGAGTTTATTAAAGTGCCTATATCACTCATGGGATTTTTATGGATTTGGAAAGAGCACAAAAAGTTAGTATAGAAAGTCTAGATCCTTTTTTGATATAAAACAATAGTTTCTGAGATATCGGGCCTCAAACAGGGCATTTTTCGCCTTTTTCAAAAAAGGGGGTTCTGGGACTCAGGAACCTAATTTGCAAGCACGCCGTCTTTCCTAATAAAAAACATATAATTTCTCTGGTGGTATCCTTTGTATTTTTCGAAATAATGCCGGAACGCTGCGTTGTCTATGGCTGTAACAACACAGCAAGTTCGACAAAAGGTATATCTTTATACCGTGTACCTTATTGGGACGATAGCAGGCAAATTGCGATAGTGAACGAAGTATGCGCATACAACACAGAGGGAAGGTGTGTATTTATATCTCGTGTTTGTTTGAATCTAGGTATTCAAACTGTGTGCGTTTCCATCCCTGGCTTTGTTTTATATTTATATATTTTATTACTTTTGATAGTTTGTATTTAAATCTAAGATATAAAATCTTGCGAATTTAT